CCTAATTCATCTTGTCTTGAAATATATACAAGTTGTTGGTGGTGGCTACAGCGATGATGTTCTCCTTGGGGTGCCAGGCCGTGTGCAGGATCTTCTTGTTGAAGTCTAAGCTGTCGACGCTGATCTCGTCCTTCTTCCTCTTGCCGCTGGCGCAGACCTTGCGCGGCTTCAGCACCGTGCGCGGCTTGTTGTTCTCCCGCGACGCCTCCAGGGTGATGTCCCTCTTGGTGTTCCTGTCGAACATCCTGAAGAAGTTGTTGTAGGATCCTGTCATGACGATGCTGCAGAGGAGGGAAGGAAGAAAGCAGTGGGTCAGCTGGAAACTCCTTCTCCCTTCAGCCTGACCGGGATCACACCTTGTCACACAGGATCTGCTATGGCTGAGGAGGAACTGGGATGGTCACAGACTTCAAAAACCCCAAAGGTCTCTTCTCTCCTCCCCTGGGCCCCTTAGGCTGCACGTTAGCCAAGCACCTCGAGCGCCACGGCCCAGGGCCGAGGCAGGGGAGACCCAGGTTAGGTACTAGTGAACCTTTTGTCCCTGTGAGGCTGTTCAGGCACTGGGACACTGCCCAGGGAGGTGGTGGAGTCTCCATCCCTGGAGGTGTTTGAGAGGCACCTGGACCATACAAGATATGGCTTAGGATTTACAGCAGTGACAGGTTAACAGTTGGACTTTATGTCTCACCCAACCTTCATGATTCTATGAAATGTCAGAATTCAATTTGCTTCTCTCACACAGAGGAGAAATCCAACAAAAGCCCAACTCACTGGAGTTTTGGCCACATGATTTTAGTGACAAAGTTGCACCGAGTAACATATCTAGTTTGTGACAATCCCCACAGCTCCTTACTCTGCATCAGCTTTTCAGTGAGACAAACTCACACAGAAGTTTCCCTGTCCTTTCTCTGCCTCAGAAAGTATTTGAACAAGCAGATCCCAAATTAAAAGCTAAAACTAAATGAGGCACTAAGTGTGACAATACTGACAGGGACCCAGAGAGCTGATCAGACCCAGCAAATGAGCAGTCAATGACAGGACTACCACAGGAGCAGCAGTTGTCCCACATGGTGTTACTGGCAGGTCAGTGACGTGGCAAACGTGACCATTTGCAGTAGGAAAGAACATTCCTAGGAGGGTTCCGAGTGCTTTGCCTCCTGACAGAGCAGCTAAGATGGCAAACACACACACACAGGTCCCACAGCAGGTCAGTTTCGAGCCCCAATCCACATCTGGTCAGCTCACCAGGGCAATTCCCTGCACTGCTGTGCTCCACCCCACGGGCTGTGCCCAGCACCAGTGTGTTAGAGCCAGTCCACGAACAAATCCCACAGAAACTGGAGCCCCAAAACTGCTCCTCTTAGAATCTCTCCAAGTTACTCTGAAGTGCACACGGAGAAGAACCAAACTTGCCTGTCTGACCCGTTCCAACAGCACTCAAACTTGTCAAAGATGCAATCGTTCTCATAGAGGGAGCAAAGTTTACTTCTGAGGTATTCGTGCACCTGCAAGAGAGTGTGAGGTGAGGGAGTGAGGCTGGACCCACACACCCTGCCCAGCTCAGAGCACAGCTCTGCAGAGGAAATGTTCCACTGCCTGTTTTCTCCAGGAATTAAAGAGAGTGTGAGGTGAGGGAGTGAGGCTGGACCCACACACCCTGCCCAGCTCAGAGCACAGCTCTGCAGAGGAAATGTTCCATTGCTCGTTCTCCCCAGAGCTCTCGTGGCTGCAGTTCATCCTGCCAACCCTCCCACACTCCCACGGGGTAGGAGAGGCTTTTC